ACTCTTTGTACATTATTGCTAAAAAAAATGTTCTTTTGCTACATTTTTTACTGCAAAAGTATCTTGCCTTTAAAGATAAGCAACACAATATAACAATAAAAAAAACTACTCTTTTAGACATGTCTGGGTGTAGTATGCAGAAATGTAGAAAATCTGAGGTCTTCTTCTGTTTTCCAATCTAATTTAGCAAGAACACTTAGCTTTAAACATGAGTGCAAACACCAAGTCAGTCGGCAACTGAATAACAGACATCTTACTTCTAGTACTTGGTTAAAAGAGCAACAATTATGAGGTTAAGTCAAAATAACTATTTTTCTATTAGGAAAAAATACTTTGCAGTACCTTAGTTTCCATCAAGATACAATTTAATGTCCTCAGGAGAGTCTACCAAGTAATAAAATAGGTCATTTTACAGTCTCTCTTTAATGGTACCACTCAGTCAGTGGTATCTGAAAAATTGCCTCTGACACAGGATGTGCAGAGGCACTGCAATAATTGCAATAACTTCTTGGGTGTTTGCTTTATTTATAAATTCAAACCCACCCATCCATATTATCTATGCACTAGGACAGTGATGCATCTGCTTGGGCCAAACTAGTCTTCAGACAGAACCCCTCAGGCACACTTTGGCTCTCCAGAAACTTTGTGAATTTAGTGTTTGAAGACATATCTTGGCAATGTTTCAGCAAAGTAACCTCTTTTAGTATGAATGCTGAAGACCTCTTGATATTAACTTTCAGGATTTTGCTGCTGATTCTTATGCTTAGATAAAGATAAGCACCTTTGACGTAATAAAGACTAACAGCAAGAGAAAAGGCTTTCATTTTCTCCTACATTCTTTCTGAGTTTTTCAGAAGTTCCTACATCCTCACCTTAGAGATACCAGAGGAGTCATATTTATAAAGGATGTTTAAAAAACCTCAACAAATCCACGATTTACAAAACAGATACCATGGAAGTTTTGGAACAGGTATGTGGTTTCTGTTGGAGAGGCAGGTCTCACTTTGCCTAGAATCAGTCATGATCCTGCTCCATCCAAGAGAAAATCAGTAACTGACATAATCTCTTGTCCTGCCTGTCATATTACACAATCAATAAATGTCTGAGACACTAAAGACCTTCCAAGCTGTAATAACCAACAAAGATGGTGAAACATGACTTGATATACTATATTTAAGAACTTGTTTGACAAAGGAAAATCACTTCCTCAATAGACTCTCCCTCACTCCTCTATGCAAAGCACTGCAAAAAGCTTCTGTAATCCCCCTAGTGCTTTAAAGTCACTCGAGATAATACATGAAATAAAACTATTTTCTGTCCTTTAGTGTGGGGAATTGCAGGGAAACCTAATAAGCTATACAAAATGGTCAGAAAATGTAAGCAATGAAGTTTTTACATTGAAGCTTTCTCTTATTTTGATATTGGAGAGTCAAGGTTTGGCCTCCACATAAATAAGTTCTTAGTTCAAAGCAAAAACCTTTCAAATGCTATGTGTTCATGTATTTTTAAATTTATTGATAATTTATTGATTTACCGTGTCTTCCAAGACAAACAAAACCAAAGACTTCATATATACATGTGTGTGTGTATATATATATATATATATATATATATATATATCAACACACACACATAAAATGTAAAAGCAAGAGTCATGCTGATGATCCACTGAAGGGAGGATAAAATGTTTACAGCTGCCTTGCACCTACATATAAGAGCAAATATTACATAACAGTCAACAGATGCTTTTAAGTAAATGTTTGCAAGGCATGGAAAAATGACCAAAGCAAACATTTTTTGAACCACTGTTAATGGAGGCCTATGTAATGGGCCTAACTTTCTGGTACATTATGCTTAGTTAATTGAACAATAACATGAATTTCCACACCAGTATTTCCATCAACACTGGAACAACTACAAGGATTAACAAGCAATTTACTAAGTTCACCACAGACACTGTATACAACAGCTGACAGGTATTTTCTCAGGTGGGAATGTTTTCCAAGTAGAACACTGAGAAGATACACCTTAATTTTTTAATTAGGAAGAGAAGAATATTTCAAGAAGCTTGCACTCTCTCTCTCATTTTTTACTTTCTTTCTTATCCCATGTCCTCAAGCATTCCTCATTGGACCAGGCTTTTTTAGGGTTGGGTTGACCAATAGAGGTTTAGCAATAGTTAACGTGGCCCAGTCTCCTTCTCTTTATTCTGCCACCTTAATCTGATCTTTCCTAGTTAGTACAGTCATTACTCTTTGCTATAAAGTTAACTATGCAAGCACACAAAGCCAACAAAACTAATCTGTGCACTATAACAATAACCAGACCTGCCAGACCTTAATATTTGTTTACATTAGTAATGTAATTAGTAATGTAATTACATTACATTGTGTTTATAAGTGCAAACCATGCATGGAATACAAATCTGGCATGTCTATGAAAAAGTCACATCTAAGGAATTTTACTTATTTTAAGTATGAAGAACTACCTTTTAGAAATTAGAAGCAACTTAGGATAAAATTCCTTCAAGTTCCATGAACTGCAGGCAGAAATGGAACTGAACCCATCAGGGCAACAATCTCCAACCCATTTATTCAATTTCCTTTCCAATGAGATTGTTGTCTGTAATTTTCTAATCCCTGAAACTAGCCTGCTCCAATTCTTAAAACTAGCCCTATGCCAACCATAGCCCAGGGACTCAGAAACCTGCCACAAGAAGTAGCTGAGTCAGTTCATTAGTACCAGATTGTCAATTTTGTGCTCCTTTAGAATGTCCTCATAAGCTGCAGTAGCTCTCCAACCCTGAGCTAGACTTTTCAGCTGCCTTTTAACCCAGCACTCAACTGGCCAGGACTGCTATTCTGTTACCAATAAAATAAAGCAGCAGATTTTTGTTGGCAACATTCTGCCCTACAGTTTGACTGCAGGGAACTGTCACCCTGCGGCTGCTGCTGTGCCCCTTGGCAACTTGAATTTAACCAAGTAGCCTGAGGTTAAAATGACACCCAAGAAGAGCTGGAAAATGCAGAAATAGCACAATTAGTGGTCTCCAGCCAAGCTCATACTGTTAAATAGGGTAAACCATTGTTGAAACTTTTTTCCATCAGTGACTACTCCATGCCTTCCTAGGACAGACATTTAGAAAACAACACTGCAGAACAATTGTCTGACCTGGAGTTATGGTGGGCTGGCTGTCAGCATTTCTGTCTATGGAGCCTCTTGGATCAGACCCAGAAGAGGACTGAAGAAGCATCTGACCTGCACTAGTTTGGGCCATGAGGCCATATTCCTGTTTGTAGCTGGCAAAAACCATCAGTTTGAACTGAAAATTAGGACTTGCTAAAATCACTGTGCTTCTCTGAAACACACACTTGGTAAACTGATGGTGGACAGTTGTGGGAAAGGTTGAAGATAGGTTATAGTACAGTTCATGTCTCTCAAAACCTCTAAATGAATGAGAAAAGAGATCAATTAAGGTATGGATTCTGCCAGTAAATGTCACAGACTATATTTAGTCTGAAACAGTGAAAGTGTAAAACAAAGGAATAGGACCAATGAGTCTAGAAGAACTTCACTGATGAAGAAAAGATACCTAACATTTTTGAGCTAGTGCCTGCTAGTGTGGGGTGAACCCATTATCTGTGTTAACCAGCTGTAGAACCCACCAAAAGATTATGGATTAGAAAATGGGACTTGTTTAGATTAGTTTAATTTGTATTTACTAAACTCCAGGGCCTGGGAAAATTGTGTATTCAGAAAGTTATGAGCTCAAATAATAAAGGCTAATAATGTCAGGAGCAACACTGAAACTTTATATCAATAGTGCACAATTGGCTAGGCAAGAAATGTTCCTAAATAAAAAAAAAAAGCCATAAGGTATAGCTCCATAGTGCTCAAATTCATACATGGCTAGATAATCATCCTTGGACCAGCCCAAGTTCAGTACATTTAAGTGTGAAGTAGGTAAGAAACAGGGATCTGTTAGCTTTAGGAACAATGCTGAGGAAACTGTGAAATCTGGAGAACAGTGTGTCCAAATCAAACAAGACAGGAATACAGTGGGGTAAAAGTTAATGTAAGAGTAGTGGAACTAACAGTTGGTGGTCCCGGCTCAGACTTTACTAAGCATGGCACAGGTGGAAGATAGTAATTAGACAGCAATCTTCAAAGCTATGCTAAATATACCTTATTCTGGGATTAAATACCACTAGCATAAACTAAAATTAGGGCAAATTCATTAGCTATGGTAACAAAATTATTAAAAGTAGCTTTCATAGTAAACTGAAGGCTGCTATCTTAGATCACAAACTAGTGCTTATCAGGAGCTAAAAGGGACTATAAACAACTGGAGAAAAACCAGTCACACTGCCATAAAGAGCAAACTCGCTATGACAGACGTTTATGGCAATGTTTGACTGGGTACAGGCAGGGCTACTGTATGCTGGTTTTGTTCGCACCAAAAAGGACTGCAATCACCCCTGCGCGTCATTCTCCCGTCGCAACGAGCTTCATCCACATTCTTGAGAGAATGTAAGCCGGGAAAATTAGAAGGCAAATCGGAAACTCACAAAATTTAAGACCAGTTACCGCAAATGGGTTCCATGAACTGTGGCTTCAGAGGAGCGTAAATGAGCCGCTGTTTGCTCAGCAGGGAACAGGCTGTTCGCCTCCACCGCCCCACCAGCAGACCCCGACAAGCCATCCCAACCAGCCCCGAGGGAAGGGGCGGCCCCGCAGCGGCCCCGCAGCGGCCCCACAGCGGCCCCGGCGCCGCCCGCGCCACCATGGCGGCCGCGCCCCTCACGCCGGCCACGCCTCGCGCCCGTTACCGCAGCAACGGCCGGCCGGCCCGGCGGCGCTCAGCCAATCAGCGGCGCGCTTGCTGCGGGCGGGCGGGAGCGGCCGTTGGCGGCGGGCAGCGGCGCGCGCGGACGCGGTGGGTGCGGGCCGGGCCCGGCGCGGGGGCGGCTGCGGGCTGGGGGCGCCCAGGGGCGGCGGGAACCGAGCGCGGGAACCGAGCGCGGGAAACGCGGCTCCCACGGAGCCCACGGTGACAACAAAACCACTTGCGCGAAGAGGTTTGAACAACCAGCGAGGCGGTAAAACCGGCCCGAGCGTTTGTCTCTGCCTCCCGTGTCCTGACGTCTGCTCTCCCCCAGGTTCGGTACGGCGCTATGGGTAACGCACCGGCGGAAGATGAAGTGGCACTCTTTGAAAGAGATATGAAAGAGTTTTGGGTCCAGTTTAAAATCAGTTACGGCACTGAACAGAACAATCAGACTTCAGCGCTGAAAGATTTGTGCAAGGAGACTTTAGAAGCTCTTGCAGGTACAAAGGCTCTATGCTCCTGTTACCTCTGCTTTTTGCGACTTGTCGTCAATCTTCTTCAGATAACTGAAGTAACTTTCCCTTACAGCGAAATGGTCCAAGAAGCTGAAAGAAGAGGACCTGATGATTGACAAAATTCACGAGTGTGAAAATGGTACAGTTATTTATTATGTCCAACCTTTATAAAATTAACTTAATACACCTGAATAGTATGTATGTTTAACTTCATTCTGATGTTATTACTTACCTTTTTGAATGTGAAGACAGAATTAAACCCAAACATAATGGGTTGATTACAATATGAATTTACAATGTAAATTTCAAGTCAAAAGCAATTCGTTGAAAAATTTCCTTGATGATGCAAAAATATGTTTTCTGCATAGAGCATAAGTATTTAAAACAATAGAGTATCAGAATTTTCTGACTGCAGTAGGAAAAGTAAATTAAATTGCTTAATAAAGCTAAGTACTGTGTAGTTATGTCTTTTCCGAATTAGTAAGAGAATACTGTCAGCTCATCAGTCTAGGGTTAACTTAGCTGAATTTTGTAAACTTCAGAGTATCAGGTAAAAATGATTGCAACTCTCATATCAGTCAGTGTTTCCATTCTTGGCATTCTGTCATTACCTGTGGGCAGGAGCCACCATCTTCCTGCTTTGAAGATGTGTATAGTGTTGGCACCAGAAACAAATTTAATCTCATTAAAGTCTCAGAGCAGCTCCATACTTCATAGCTTTTTAGGAATAACTTTCATTTTAAGTTTTCATTTGAGGCTCTTGGTATAGTTAAGCTGACTTCACTCTGCAGCTGTGGTAGCATGCATTCCACTGTGTTTTATTAATATAAATAATTTCAAACTACTTAAGTTTTAAATAGCAGGGACATACTTAATCAACTGTATATGTTCATATTTTCTTGCCTCCTTTCAGAGATTCTCCAGCAAAGCAAATATATAGCAGAAAAGGAACAGCAATTGTCAGAAATAAAATCAAAGCTAAATCAAGAACAAGAGCAGCAGAAGAAATTGACTGACAGCATCCAAGAGCTTGAAGAAGAGTTGATGAAGAAAATGGAAAGTAAGTAAGAAAAGGATAAGTAATTTTCTTAATTGAAGGAGGGGTTGTTTTTAACATTTGGTCTTTGTGGCTTTTCTGCTGTTCTAAATGGTTTTTTATGTGGTTGTTTTACCTTTGTTACTTACAATGGACTTTTAAATTCTAGTAAAAGCTTCAAAAAATAAAGCTGCCGAGGAGAAAGTGGAAAAAGTGAGCAAGATTAAAGCATTGTTTAAAGAGCATCTTGCGTTGGAGATGCGTAGAATTCCGGGTAGGTTTCTGTATTTTCCGTAGTTTCTGTGTGCACTGATACAATATGGTTCATGTTGGATTGTGCAGTGAAGAGCACACAGCTTACACACTTGATCAGTTGGCTTAGTCCAGCTGCTACATTTGTCCCTCAAATGGCAAAATATGCTAAAATGCATTTGTCTTGCAAAAAGGCCAGGGTTGCTTAATTTGTCTAAGAAGTTCTAAGTGTTCTAGGAATATTAATTGAAACTAACTTTGTATTGTGATTTTTAGTCATCACTGTGACTCTGCAGCAGAGGTTAGTGGTATTAATTAATTCTGTTTGTGTTTATTTTAGATGAGCAATTACAGTTCATATTCAGACACATTGACCGCAAAGATCCTGATAAGCCGTACATTTGTACCCTTTCCATAAATGAACAAGGGGACTATGAAGGTATGTGAATTTTGAATACTTAAGTAAGAGAATTGAATCTGACACCTCTGTTTGAAAAAAGGGGGGGAGTAAAGTGCAGTTTAGTTGTAATTTTTTATCTTCCAATTGCCAAATGAAAAATCTTGCAGTGGTAATATTTTTTCATTAATTATGTTTATCTTGTTAACTTACATGAAAATATGACTGCTTATATTCACTGCCCTCCATTTGTGGAGGTGCTGTTTACTTTGTATCAAGCAAAGCAAGAGAAGGACCATATACAGAGATGAGGATGCTTCATTTGTAATTTGTTTCTGCTACAGCGGATGTGTATGCTGATAGGCATATTTCAACTTGTTCCAGAAGCCTAGAGGGCAGAAAAAGGGTGACATAGGTGAAAGAATAAAATTTGAAATCCAGCATTCCCCTTCTGTAAGGGCACAGCCTTTTGGATCTCAAAGCTGGTTTAGCTATATGGATTTTACTTCAGTTGTGGAATTTGAGTGCTGGATGGCTTCTAGACAGGTGTTACTGGGGCTCTGCCATGCCCCTTGGTATGAACTGAGCAGATTCCCAATTTTACTAATTCAGATTTAAACTGCTGAAGTTAAGTCTATCACACGCTGGGCTACATCAGTTTACAATCTGCTTGCCAGCAGAGCAACAAAACTGTTTAGGAATGTGTTTCAGTTTTTGAGCAGGCTATGGATTCCTGGAAATTGCTGTAACAATTCAGGCAGGAGCACAGCACTGAGTGGGAGGTCAGTAAATCAAAAAACCTGTTATGTTCTTTGAGGCTTTCTCTTTGCTGAAAGAAAATGAGGCTTCTCAAAAATAATGCAGGTGGAAATGAAAACATAGAAAGTTAACAAAGTACGTCAGTATTTCATAGGTGCAGGAAAACATTAGTAATGATTTATTCTTTTAGTAGTAGTCTAATCTTTGGCAAATTTGTGTCATTTTAGTGACTTCCTGTACTCCTCCTCTGGACTGTATGGCAGAGTTACAGCTTAAACTGAGAGAAACTAACAATTTTTCTGCATTTGTTGCCAACATCAGAAAAGCTTTCACTGCTTTATCATATAAACAGTCTGCATGAATCTGGTTTGTACTTCTCTTTCTGGCTAATAAGAGTAGAGCACTCTTACTCCCTTCCTGTTGGTGAAATGGTGTATTTATCCATGTCTGACTCTTAATTTCTAAATAAAGATAATGAAAGCACTATTTTAGTCTACTGTTATCTGGACACATTTTGGATCATCCTTTGAACAATAGTATCACCAACTACTGCCTTAAATGAATGTCTCTGAACATGTAAATTTTGATCGATTACATGCATTAATGATGTAATGGTTTGTATTTAGCTGCCCCTGGAGGTAATCAAAATAAACTACCTTCTGTAGTTCGTGTATCTTTTCCAAAAGCATTGATGTCTCTTTCAAGTTTATGTGTAGTTGAAATAGGCTTGAAACCTATTAAAAAAAAAGTGTGCTGAAGCTTAGCACTTACTTCAGTTACTTGTGTCATAGGTCATTGTCTTGATTTTTACCCTAACTTGTACTCTACAGTGTTAGCATTTCTATTCATGCATCTAAATGGTTGTTTTTCTTCTGGTCTGTCAAACTTTGTCATTGGAAATCTTTTGACATGGCAAAGTCTATATTACACTGTATCATGTATTAAAGTACAATGAAGTATAATGTATTCAAGTATGAAATAGAGTGGTGACAGATAAATCATGTGTGTATTTTGCATCTTACCAAGAAGACTATTATTACCACAATGCTCAGCTTTGATTGAAAATGTTCTTTTTCTATCCTGCAAACTGTTTTCATTTTTACAGAATATTTAAAAGGACTGTTGCAACAAGAAAGAAAATGCTTCATTTGATAATATACCATAGTTCAAATAAAGTCTTGACTAAGTTCAGTCCTAGATATTCTAGTGAATCAAAAACTAATATGTATGACCTAGTCATTTAGAATGTTTAAATCTGGTGATCAGATATTATCTGATCTGAAAAGATATTCTTAGTACAGTTGGGAATATTTCTCAGTCACATGTGAGCTGTATTTTAAATAATTTGGTTTGTCTAAACTTAACCCATATACCTTGATGGATGCACCACAGACTACACCCTCATCTTCTCGGAGCACAGCTTAACATTTCTTCCATTTCTTCTTCCCTAAAGGGCATAATTTGCTGTTTTCTAAATAGTGCATCATTTTCCTTGGTGTGTCCTATTGATTTTTTTTCTTGTGTTACAGCCAGTTATACACAAAGAACAGTAAGAAAGGTAAAGGTGCCAACTGATTAGACTGCAATTTTGGAACAGAATTACAGCAGAGAATTACTAAGCTTTACTATAATGACATCTCAAATAAAACAAATCCTCAGTTTCTGCTTTGTGTCCTTTCTCAGGACAAAATCTGTGTCCTCTCTGAGAATTCTGTAACTGGCAATGCTACAAAGAGGCAAGGGATGGGAACCTGACTTCAGGGGTCTCATTGTTCATTAGTGGATTTGCTTCCTTTTAATCAGATTAACAGGATTTAAGTTGCAGGTATTTCTTTCAACTAATTGCTTCTACCACTAAGAGAATGCTGTAGGCATTTTAAGGACAGCAGTAGATTAGCCAGGAGTTTAAAAAATGTATTGAGCCAGCTGTGCACTTCCCACTTGTGTCATCTCTTGAGGCATTATGGCTGCTGTTGGCATCTCTTCCTTGTCCAGAGGCCCTTACCATTCCTGGGGGAAAGCCTGTCCCTTCTGGCTTCTCACTAAGGGCGTTGCCCTCACATGCAGAATGACTGTTCATTTGAAGCATACCCTTGCCCTACTTCACCTGTCTGTGCCGAGCACCTCTGAGCCGCTCTGAAAGGAAGCTTCAGGATGCTCAACCAAATGGTTTGCAGCTGTAGTATGAAAGCAAAAAGGCAGAACACAACCTCCTCATTTCCATGATTTCAAATGGAGCTGTTTAATCATTAAGGCTGTATGTTTTGCTCAGACACCCTCTGTAACACTTGCGAGTTGATCAAGTTCATGGGAGAAAGAAACTGAAATGCTTTGAGTAATGAAGATAGATGTTCAAAAGTAGTGCCATTTTCTTTTCCTTTTAATCACAGGCATAAGTAGTTGGTGATAAAATGAATTTGTCAAGATTGCTATACACAGAACATAAAATACGTGACAACTACTTTATTGGAATATACATTCTTAGAAAGTATCTAAAGAATATGATGAAATTATCTAGAGAATATGATGTGCCTGGTTGTAAATGTTCTGTGCGTATGCCTAAGCAAAAAGTTTGGAATTAATTTATTGTGTGTAATATAAACCTTTACAACTCCTTTTGGAGCTAGAATAATGTGCCTGCTTATATTTGCCAGAGCAAATCAGAGACCTTAGTTCCACTAAAACAGAGCCAGGCATTCCAAAAGTGGGTTAAAGCTAGGAATGTGTATACAATACATGTGCTTTGCTTATTCTAAAATATGAGTAAAACTGGCCTGTGACTTCCATGAAACAGTCTCATTATAGTGAAAGTCTTGACATTTTAAAACCTTTAAGTGTGCACTTAGTGCTTATAGAATGCCACACACCTGGATGTGTGATAATTTGGAATGTTCTATTTTCTGTTTGTTATGAAGCTTCACAATACAGTGATATCAACTAATAGAGAAGACAACTAGGATAACACAATAGACTGACCCAGCAGGTTCAGCTGTGGGGAAGCCTGTGTGATGGATAGTACACAGATACAGACTGAAATGTCCCAAAGAGCATGAGGGAAAGCTCTTGAGCTCAAAAGCAGTATACAGCTGAGAGGCTGTGACACAATCAGCTAATGCTGGTGCTCCATTTATTAGCAGGATCTTAAGGCAGACATAGATTTTAATGAAGGTCAGTAAAGGCTTTTTTCATAAATCACTTTGCCCAATGCTGAACATTTGCTTTCCCTTTCAAAGTGCTGACCAATACTTAGGTACCAAGGGTCAAGTCTGAAATGGCATGGGCCATGAACTAATGCTGACCATACAGTAAACTGCTGATGTACTGATGCTCAGCACCTCATCAAATTTATCTCATTTGTAAAAATCTTGGGGAAGACTGTTGAATTTATGAGATACTGGAAACACCCTATGAATTTAAAGACTGCCAGGAAGACAAAGTAACATTAAATGTTAATAGCATATGTATTAAATATTAAATCACTATTGTTTGTATGCTACTTAGAGGTCAGATTTCTCTTAGCCCTGGCTAACAGAACAGTTCTTTTACACACCTATTCAAACAAGAGTGGAGGTAGTTACTCTTGGATGTTGTTAGATGTATATTGAAAAGCAAACAAGTACTGGCTACAGTTGTGAAAATAAAAAAAGACATGAAAGTTATGCTGTGCTTGTGTCATACTATCTTCTCTAATATGTCAATAAACTGAATTTATTCACTACCTTGAAATTGTCTAAATTAGTTTTGTCATTGTAATACCGTAACATTGCCATGAACTCACTTGTGATTTATAACTTTTTAAAATGCTTGTGGAACTTGACATAACAAAGATATGCACGCATGCATCAGTCCCACAGGCAAAGTAAGAGTATGTATTTTAACTGTTTGAATAAGTTATACTAAATGACTGTGGTATTAGTCTTACCTTTTTGAAAGCAATAGCTGCAATTCAGTTATATGAGGCATTACTGCTAAAACAGCATTGTATGCCTGAAGGGTTGGGAGGAATGGCTCTGACTGCCAGACAGTGACACTACGTTCTTTTTATCCATATTATCCCTATTACTCTGACAGCTCTAGACACAGAGACCCCTTTAGAGTCTTGAGTTTATAAATAAGTTGTTGCAACAGAAGCAGAGGCAATGAAGCCTGATTTCCTACAGATCTGTGGGGTTGTCCTTGAACAGTGCCATTCTCTTCACTGTGGTATTCAGCTCTTCTTTATAGTCTAAGGATCAGAGCCATAAAGCCACTCCTGAGTTATGCCAGTTTGGCTCCTGCTTTGCTGCTGCTAAAGCTGCAGGACACCAGTTGCACCCTGCCTGTTCTTGGTCCAGTGCATTTATCTGTGGTTCTCTCTCTGTACCTGACTGCTGACTCTTAAGTACATTATATGGACAGGGATAATTGGCACATAGTCTTCTTTTCAAATTTGGACTAATTGAACAACACATTCAAAAATTGTTGGGGAGACTGGCAGAATCTAAAAATAGTGTTTAGTCATACAAACGTGTGGTGATTTTTCATATGACATTTTTATAGATATATATATAAGTAGTTATGCACTGAAATGATTAATTGAAAAAAGATACAATTAGCTTCAGTGTGATTTTCTTCCTCTTCAGTCCCAGCATGTTGAACAATGCAAATTGCTACTGACTCACCTGTTTTGTGACTGATAGATAACTCTCTATGTGGAAACATGCTCTTTGACTGACTTGCCTCAATGGATTATTTTGCACTGGCTACTGGATCGTGGCCTCAGTTCTTCATTATCCATTATCTTCTACACCACAGCTTCAACTGGAATAACTGGCTGGGCAGAGAAACAGGTCTGTTAGAACACCAGCTGTGTATCACTATTTTGATTTAGAAGCATGCCACACTTCATACTGATAGCAATTGCAATTACTACAAAGAAATCCAGGCTTTTAAGAGAAGACTGCATACCTTGAACCTTTTGGCTAAGGTAGGAATAGGTCAAAGTGACAGGTGACCTAACGGGTGGTTAACTAGCTAAGTTACAGCACAATACATTAATGTAAATGCTTGCCTCATAGGCAAACAACTATGCAATCTTCCCATGCAAAGCTAATGAGAGAATTTTGCTTGTTTAACTCCATGTATGATACAACCTCATAATGGAAAGACAACACAGCAAATCAGTAATTTTATTTTTTTAGTATTGTATCAGCATGACTTACTGACCTGTATTTTCCTAGACTTACTGCAAAAGTAGATAAGCCATCCCATAAACTCATGTTTCTAAAGGAAAGAGGAAAATCCTCTTCTGGCATGCAATTCTCAATGCTGTCAACTGCAACTCTGCAGCAATCACCCATCCTTTTAGGCTCCAACCTTCTCTAAGGTTAGTCCACAGTTCTGACAGTCTGCTTGGGACAGTAGTACAACAGGGTTCATCTTTACTAAATCTTGTGCTAATGGCATCCATTGAAACAAAATATGAAATCCACAGTCAATGTGAATGCAATTTACATAAGAACGATGGTCTACTGTTCCCAACTGCTCCTGCTATTTATTTCCCTTTGCTATTAGCAACCTGTTCTTCTTCTCCCAAATAATACAGTTAGCACTCTATAATAGTTACCTGTCAAATCTTATAGGGGAGTTCTATGTAAAACAGCTGTGTTTGTGCTGGATGCTTGGACAAGTTGCAAAAGTAGTGCAGACCATCACAGCTCAACTATAATGGATGTAATCTCAATGGTTCACATGCTCCTTAACAAAAAGCCTTAGAAAAAATGAGATTCAGTTAGTAGGAAATTGGTATTAAAGTGAAACAGTTATTTACAAAAATCATGTGAAAAGGCACCTGCTTCTAGTCTGGACAGCAGTCCTGGCTGTTGTTTACATCCACAACTTGTCCAGGGGGTGCCACAACTTGGGTCATCACTTCCTCAACGTTGCTGAAGGACCAAATGTTGGACCTGTAATTGAGCTAGACTATTTACATGCAAATCGTTTTCTGGAACTGAAATATGATTAGACTGTCCCATAAAGTAACAGCTATGGGCAGTGATCTCACTTGGGAGACAGTTCCATGAGAAACCACATATAAAAATGAGAACCAGGAACACCTAAATGCTTTGGATAATATAAGTTTAAATTAAGCCTAAATGAGGGAATAAGCAAAAGTAACTATGAAAAAGCAAGCCTTTCTGATGGGAAGCAGTTCTTTCAAAGATACCTTGAGGGACCAAGAGTAATTAAAATTACCATTACTGGGAATTAAAAGGTGAGGTTATCTTCATGATAGGCTCAGAAATAGGACATAAAATTGCTAGTTAAATTAATGTGAGAAAGCTGACACAAGTTTAATTAAGAAAGGATCACATTTAATTTTTGGATTTCAGGATTTTGTGAGGGGAGATTGCAAAAAGTTGTTGTAAATATGCAAGAAATGTGGCAGTTGTGCAGGGACTTTTGCTTGGTTGTTCTAAAAAATCAAGAAATAACCTGCACAGTATTTTCTAGGGAGAGTACCTTACACTTTGAAGTGTTTAAAAAGTATAAAAAAACCCACCCACTATGGTGTTTTTCAGATGTCTACAAAAGAGCATTAATTTAGGAATGTAAATATATGTTGCCAGCAGTACCTTTTCATCTGATAACTGAATTATAGCAGTTACATTACAAGTAGGTCATGTTGCTCTTACAAAACCTACAATACTCAACTTCTAATACTTACTTGCACTTTCCAGAGACTAAAAGCTAACAGTTCTGTGTCACATGTAAACAATTACCTTTGAAAGTCAGAACCTCAGGAAGATGTCAGTGTTGCACACAACTCTGCATTTAAGAAATCCCTCTACAAGAATAATCACTGGTTTGGCAGACTTGGGGCTGGAGAAGCTGGGTATAAAACACAAACTGTCATCCTCTTCTGTGAAACCCACTTAAGCTGTGTAAGAAGGCTACTGGCTGATTAGAGTAGACAGTGTAAAATCTGTCCAGGGGCAGGACTAGCTGCAGCAGAATGAATCACCAAAAAGACCAAAAATCCCAGCACAACTTAGTGAAACAAGAACCCTCCACTCACACTAGCAGAGCTGGGACTAGCTTCCCTCCACATAAGCTCCCAACCTCTGTCCATCACAGCATGATGAGCTACTGAGTCATGCAGAAATTTGTTCACCTGGTATAGCTACACATTTGGATTCTCTTCACTCACCTTCTACATCTACAGGAAATTGTGTCACTGCCTTCTAACTCTCCTGAAGCAGCAGACCTGTTGTTCTCTGAGAGCCACTGTTCCCTGTACAAAGGGTCCTTTACAGACTTAGACCCAGAACATAAAGGTCTTGCTCTTTATCATGTTATCCTGAACTGTGTTCTGCACACATTGGCTCTCCCTTGTCCTACGTAAGTTGAGAAGCATATGTGGCATAGAGAGCAAAAGACATTACACATATCACTGGACAATATTCCACTTAAGTAAATCTCTTCAGAAATACCTTCAATAAACATGAACAGAAATGCTAGATTAAATGTAACACGAGAGTCTATATATTATCACAGAGCCATATTAACAACTATAATTGCTAAAGATCTACAGTTTTTTAACACAATGCAAATCCCCAGGTTTACTTCTCTTCAGTGGCAAAACTTCAACTGATGTGTGAAGATCCCTATATGACTGATACTTGTGTTATGAGAACTGTTGCCTAAATTTCCTGCTGAAGTTACCAGAATTTTTTCAGGCATCCCATTTCTAAATACTTCCTCGTCATCTTTTAATGGTGCACCAGAGCCTGCCTGATAATGGTGTTTTGTAGGCTTTACTCTGGTGAGCTGCAGCTTTTCCTTAGGAGATCCACTCCCAAGAGTGGCTCTTTTCTGTCACTTCCACAAGAGGTTACTAGGTGGTGCTTTACTGAGTGACAGTTTTGCCTAAAAGAAAACATTTGAATGTGTATTTCTAAAGAAACTCTGCTCATCTAGACTGAAAAAAGACAGCTTTTCCAAAGTGGGCCTGGCTGGACATTCAGGAGTTATTACCATGAAAAATTTTGATGTTTAAATCCTTGAAAAATATCCTTTTTTTGGTAATGAAAATATTTTGTTTGTATAGAGAGAACTTGATCTTCCACCACTTCCTGTTACAAACAGTTTCATACAAGAAATAACATAAAGTACTGCAGTGATGAACACAGCAAAGACATACTTGGATCTGTCCAAAGAGTGTTGGAGTCTACAGTGTGGGTAGCAGTCTTTGAGCTAAAACAAAGGAAAACATTGTCTGCATCTCACAGAAAAAATAAGAAAACAAAATCTACATTTCTAATACTTATGTTTATTATGAAACCGTCTCCAAATTAAAATAGCCCACAATACTGGTTGGTTCCAGAGATTTTATGAGGAATAATTATTCTCCATATTAGAAAAAACCCCAAACCCAGTCAAATAAAAGACAAAATAACTCCCAAAGTTCCACACAATAGCTATACATGAAAGGACTTCTAGCTAGTGCATCACTGTATCCAGAACAGTGGAGTTCCTACACATCACCACATTTCTGAAAGAGTTGCTCAAGCACAGGATTTTCATGAAAACACAGGTGAAAATGTGTCATTTGCCTCACCCTGACTTGCAGCAGTCAACTTGCACAGTATGGTATGAGAGCTTATGTAAAGGTAAACCCCAGAACAGCAAAAAGCTGAAGCTCAGCAGAAGCCAGAAAATGTGTTTTGTTGCACCTCTTTTAAGTCATGTAAGACAGTATTTTTTGCCTTTTGTCTGACACATGCGATCATTGACATGACTCCAAAACATCCTTTCATGGTATTTCCTCCAGTTTTTTAATTGAAAGCAATTTCAAAGATAGAGAATTCTGTAGAGACACACTCAAACACTGTGTTTTCATTGCAACTACAATCAGAAATCTTTACAGTGTAAAGGTGGTACATGTACACCACCTTTGCAGACCTCCACTAGAGCTTTTTAAAAGAAAAGGGAAAAAAAGAATAATGTCTTACTGAAGTTCCCATTAGATCTCTGTTCCAAATCAAAACCAGTCAAAACAAGTAATACAAACTAGTTTTGCTTCATGGTTTAAAGGCAACTGTAGTTTGCAGAACATTGAAGTTAGGCCTAAGAGGGTCCACATTACTAGAAGGGTAAAAAGTATTTAATACTCCTCTCCCACATATGTCACAGGAAGTAGACAATAGGAGACATACAAAAATGAGTTGTAGCAAAGAGATTAAGAAAATACCAAAGCATCAGCTGTATAAAACCAATGGTAGCCCATATTTCTCTGAGATACAGAAGGCTGTGGTAATGAGATAATGAATGAAATGGGCATTAGGTTTCCTACTAGAGCACTCTGTGTAAAACACGGAGTGTCTCAATTAACCAGCATGGATCACCAGTGGTGTGTGCTGCAGGGTCACAGCTTTCACCCTCATGTCCTGCTCATAAGCAGGAAGTGATTTTCACCTGAATTGGATACAGATTTAAGACAAGAATCATTCCACTGTAAGCAAAGCTTTAGTGCATGTACTTGGGTCTCAGAAAAAGCACTGGGCATTGGCAATCACATAGTCACAGAATGGTCACAGGCTGAGGCAGGAGATATGAAGCTGTGACACCTGTACCAATTCTGCTGGAATCATTAAATAAATAACAGATAGAAAAAACTACAAAAGGGCAACAAGGAAACAGCATGGGGCACTTTGGTACTTTAAAACTAGCACTACTTAACACTGATCAAGACCCAAAAGACTCCTATGTCCACTCTTATTTTGATCAGGTATTTTTACCATTCTCTGCAATGTTCTTCTTTATGAAAAACAACCAAACAAAACCATAAATCCACCATGTATTTTTCTTTTGATACAAAATATGCCAATATGGGAAACAGTACACAAAGGGTAACCTGAAACTTGTTTTACTGTAATCTGGGCTGTCTAGGAGAGAAGACAAATTCTTACTATTTACTAATAAACTCTAATTTCCTCCGTTTTCTACTTTGACATCTCAACCACTGTGTCATGTACTGTACTATAAACAAGGAGCATAGAACTCAAAGACAGAGAGGTTATACAAACTCTCATTTCTAGAATTACTAAGTTACAATTCTACAAAAGGTGTGAATATACAGAACCTTTTAAAGCCTCACATTTACCATGAATCATGCGAATAATTTCAGTCAATCTTCTAAAATATGTGCAATTAACCTCTAAATACTCAATGACCTCCAAATGCACCTTGCAAAGCTCTTAATCAGAAAAGCAATCAAATTCAAATGAAAAAGGAAACAATTGCATGGCATTTTCTCTGCAGAGTGGAAGATGAAGCCAAAGTTTTCACACCCATTATCTGAAACAATGAATTAAAGCACACTGCCATGTCTGATCACTAAATCACTTGGTCTTTCCTGCTAGAGACCAAAAAAAAAAAGTGTGAATTTGTAATTTTTATAATAAACCTCTAGCTTGAAAGAACAGTCATTGTTTAGCAAAGGTTGGGAAAGTTCTTAAGACTTCTTATCCTGTTTCCCCAAATTTGTGTCTTTTCTCACTTTCCAGACATACCTGTATGAAGTTTATCCAAGACTGCTAAGAACAGACTCCAAAAAGCCAGGATTATAGGCGATAAGCATGTCATTGGGTTTTAGCTGAACCAAGGTAACTGCATCCATGCTTTAGCACATCACAGATGTAACTGAATTTAAACCTCAAAGGAAGAGTTTCAATCCCAGATGCACCATTTAACAGTGGGGATCAAGAGACCTTGACAGGCTTGAGAGAGAGGCTGAAGGAAACCTCATGAAGCTCAAGTAAGCAAGTGCAAAGTCCTACTCCTGGGTTGTGGCAATCTCAGGCACTCCTTGGTGGAGAAGTGGTTGAGAGCAACCCTGTGGAGAGACTTGGGAGTGATGGTTGGTGGAAAAACTCAACGTGAGCCATCAGTGTGCACTCGCAGCCCAGAAAGCCAAATGTATCCTGGGCTGCATCCACAGGAGCATGGGCAGCAGGGCACGGATTCTGTCCCTCCACTCTTGAGAGACTCCATCCAGAGTACTGCAGCCAGCTCTGGTGTCCCCAACATAAGAAGGACATAGAACTGTTGGAGCACATCCAGAGAAGGGCCATGAAGTTGATAAGAGGATTGGAGCAAAAAGGAGAAAAGTTTAGGTTAGCTTTAGAAAGAAATTCTTTACTTCAGGGGTGGTAAAATACTGAACAACTTGCCCAGGGAAGCTGTGGATGCCCCAATCTTGGCAGTGTTCAAGGTCTTGAGCAACCTGGTCTAGTGTGAAGTGTCCCTGCTCATGGCAGGGAGGTTGGGACTAGATGATCTTCAAGGTCCCCTCAAACCCTTAACATTCCATGATTCTGCGATACCCTAACAGCATATGTAGTGATGGTAAATCATCTCAAGGGTTGTAGCCTTGACTCTACATCTGAATGAACATTACAGAACATTGCTGAAGAGGACCAACAGGGACTAAAGGCCTCTGGCACCAGGATTGTTGTTGGGGACTGCTCTATGCCCTGGTATTACCAACATTGCAGCATGTGGTCTATGCTGTGCACATTGACAGTTCAGAGCAACATTCTGTTGTCATGTAAGACAAAATATTTTGCCAGAATGTCATTTGTGTAACCATCTTTGCAGAAGGGAAATGCTTCAATGGAGGTAGTAACCAACACCATGAAAGAGGTGTGTTTAAATGATATTCTCCATTTCTATTTTAGCAGGTCAGATTTCACAAATTAAAATCTTAATTTAATTGACCCCAGGATGGTTTTATTTTAAAATCTTGGCATCATCTTTGCAGTAATTACTACACAGCTGCAAACACCATGGATAGGATACTTTATATTGCAATCAGCATATTTTCACATGTATAACATGTCCTGCAGAAAACTGTTATGAAATCAAATGCATGGGAGACAGATGAAAAAGATCAGAGGCAGAGAAACTTTCTGGGGAGAAGAAGATTTAAGTAAGGCTCCCTTGCTCCCTCAGATATACTCATGGACATATAAGCTATGCAGCTGCTGGATTACAAGGTTATCTGGCTTTTTCAAAAGATGCTCTGTGGGTAGCAGAACTGACAGATCTATTGTGATTTACAATTTCTGAGTTTTCTTACCTTTATTCTTTACTAAGTTGAGGTACTATTTCCATTCATGCCATTCCAACCTTGCTTTTAGCACACCTCCTTTTTCCTAACACACAAGAGGTTTCTATGGATAAAAAAAGTTGTAGAAGTTTTCAAGAGTGACCAGTAGAATAGGACAAATCTCAGTTTTCAAAAGAAAGAAGTGACAACACAACTTTCTTCAATGAAGTCTATATAAAATAGAGTCTTTGAACATGTTTTATGGCATCAGAAACCATCTATATTTTACTATTTGCATAGTGGAAGGAATCAGAAATTACCTCATGGATCAGGTTTCCAGCTGAACACAGGACTCCAATCCCTTTGTAGGTAGAAGATATGCTTGAGATTTTTTTTTCCCCTTTTTTTTCCTTCCTTTATTTTTTAAACTTTTATATATATGTGTGTGTGTGTATGTAAATCTTTGGTCTATAAGCACATTGGTTCTGTGTGCACACCCAATAGTGTTGAACAGCAGGTTGCATAGAGTCTGTTACCCAAGAGCCCTGCCTACTTTTGGCACTGCTGTCACAAATCACAGAAGAGTGTCCAGCAAGAGCTGTATGATCTTTAGCATCCTACATCCAACTTTGATCTAGAGACTGGAAGGAGTATGTATATAATGTTTAAAAATACGTTTACTTAGGGTGTTATTACGTCTTCTTTGGGACACTATTTGTAAATTTTGGATGAAAAAGGAATGCAAAATTATTTTACAGACACCCCCTAATTTTATTTGTAGAGGTGATGAAGTACTGCTGAGCATTCAAAGGAATTATGCTAAGTGAATTTTGCTCAAGTTCTCACACACATAAAATAAACTAATTTTAGTAATGTATGACATTCTGCCTTCTCTCTCTTTACCCTGCCAAGGAAGTGGCAATAATTTTGAGAACAATACCTAGACTGAGCTGAGTCTGAGGAAGAAATGAACTTTTAATCTGCTGTTTTTTCCATTACACCCCTGCTCTCAATCAAGTAAACGTGCAAGAACAATTTCAGGAGATAAGTCTGGATTCAGAATGGTGCATTTGAAGAAACACCTTTTTACATGGAATCTCTGCAAAAAGCTAAAATCTGTTAAGGTCAAAAATTGAAAGGCCAAAAAAAAAAGGTAATAATGAATTTATCCTAAGTGCTGACAACAATGTTTTTGGGTATTTGCACAACAAATAAAGTCTACTTCTAATGCAATTAACCACCAAATTGAATTTTAAATTACGCTAAAATAATATCCCACAATGACCACATTTTTTCCCAAACTGTTGGAAGAACAGTAACTGTGATTTGATTTCAAAACCAGTACTTTAAAAGACAAAGATAGCAAAAATATCTGAAGCAGATCTAAAATCTATAAAGCTATGTTTTATCTTACTGTAAGTAACAAATCAAGCAACTATTACTTATAGCAGATTCAGCAAAACCAACAGGAATGGACAGAAGAGATCTGAGCATGATGCTCTCCCCATTACCGAGAATCCAAGACACAAACTTTGAGAATGGATATTCCCTTTTGTCCAGAAGTTCCCAAAATAATAAAAAATAAATAATATTTCAGACAATACAAGTGAAAATACTGCTCCCATTGTGTCAGTTACATACACATACAGCATGCCTACGTATACAGAGTGGTGTGCTGTCTTCATTCACAAACAGGAAATATGGCAGTGCGCTATCAGAATGCTTTGATACTCCTAATTTTTTTCTGATGCTGAAATACATGAATAAACTGCATTCACAATTTATAATTTACTTCCAGTAGCAAACAGTTCATTCTGTTCGTGTCTCATGACTGAAGTGAAGGATTAATGCTCCTCTGAGGAAGTGGCACCAGTAAGATACCCGTTTGTCCCGTTGGCACCGCTGGTCCCATTCGTGGCGACAGAGCTGTGCGGGGCCTTTGAGCGAGGTACTGTTTCTTCCTCATCTGAGCTTGACTCAACGTCACTTCGGGCATCCTTTGCTACCTGTAGAATGTGGAAAAGAAGTAGGCAGTAGGTGACTGTACGGAAACATCTCACCTTTTTGGTTCAAGAGAATCAGAGAATTCACACATTTTTTTCAATTTGACTTTTGAAGGCAATTTCAGCTCTGGGACACTTCTTTGCCTTTGCCTGCCTGCACTCACTTCAAACACAGATGTTTGCACATACATATGCCATGTGCAAAGGCAGGGTGAGAACTCAGCACTGGTGTACTGAAGGTAGTATAGCCAAGTGCTCAAGGCAAAGAGTTTTGCACAGACCGAAGTAAACAACAATCCAAGCTTCCAAATTCAACCTAGGCTCAGTCCCTCTGCCCTCCCACTAACTACAACTTTATTTCCTGTCCTTCATTTGGAGTGCTGCTCTTTGACCTGGTAATACAAAATGTTCAACCCAGCTTCCTGCCCCTTACTTCTCAATTCTCTGGAGACCACATGGCTCCAGGGAAGTGTTGTGTGCTTGCAGGATGAGACATGAGTACTGCTTGAAATAAAATTCATCACGCCAGGTTACTCCAGTCTCTAATTTCAGACAAGTGGTGAGAACGGCACTTGCAAAATGTAGACATAGTCCAGTTCAGTCCCTAACATAGGGAACACCATTTAACTGTGTGCCCCATTTTGTCACTGGAAAGGTGTTTCAGAAACAGATGGTCTTTAGTTGCTAGGGATTTCCTGCTAATTTTCAGCTGACTTCTTTGAAAAATCTTGAAAATCTCCAAAACTAGCAAGAGTCCATCAGATGTAGTATAAAAAACCAGCATCGACAGAAAATGGTCTGAGGTTTAATCTGCATGCAGCTCTAAGGATGCCATTTTCATGCCTGCTTCTACTCCTGTTTGTATAGCTGAGCATCCCAATACCTTCACAATCGATCCACAATCAATCTACTGGTTGCCACAATCAGGCAATTACAGCTGACTTTACTACAGCAAATGAACATAAAAGGGGACAAAACTCAAGGTGAGTCTTCTCCCTGAAGAACTAAACACACTTTAAGAACAGGGTCACTGTGTGTAATTTTTTGCTTACAATAATCCTCTCCTCTGGAAAATCTTCATGACAATTCCACTCTCATTTCAGAAAGAGCCATTTGCCTTTGGAGCTCCCAGTGTTGCTCTTGCAATATCACAGTACCTGAGTGACACTATTCTGCTTGGAACTAGTGAAAAAAGAAAACAGTTCCCATATAGCTCCCAGTAAGTCAAGTTTTTAATGCCAATGTCTAGCAAGCCCACAGTTCTGACATCTGTGAAACTGGACTTCATCTGAGGTCAGAAATTTGGTTCCATACTTTACAGAGTTTCAATTAATAGGTTGATTCAATGTCTTTAATATAAAAGAACTTTTATATTGCAGCTGGTGGTGGTGCAGAAATACACTTAGAATTATACCTTATCAGACAGAAGAGAATGGTCTCAGCACATAGTACTGAGCACGTGTGATCTATGTGATGGCAGACCGGGTAACTGAACAATTCTGCATCAACTTAAAATCTCTTAATAGATTCACTGCCAATTTTTCTGCTAGGGTCCTGCCCCAAAGCCAAAAATCAAAATAAGATTCTATGCTGTAGCCAGTTCTGCTAAACATGGGATCTGCTCCATTTGTTTTTAAAATGCAGCAATGAAGCAGGGTCTTTGCACTTAAAACCTGATATGAATGCAGCATATCTTGCAGTACTTAGTACTTACCTGCAAGATATCGGTAATGTGTTGTGAAAATAGTTCTGATTTTTATTGCAGAAATAGAAAGAATGGCATTGCAAGTGAGAAAGTTAAGATCTGAAAGAAAATTAATCCTCTGTATATATGTCATACATATCCATCTCTAACCTGGACACTTTGTTACTGCAAGCATCTAACTCTGCTTTAACTCTGCACCATCTCAATTTTCTCCTGTGCAATTGTTAGAACTACGAAGTGAAGGATTGACAATGTCAAGTGTGTGTCTTGAATGCTGACAGAGCAGATGCTTATCCTATTGAGATATATATAGATGGATAGATAAGTATGTATATACACACACACACATCTATCCATCCATCCATCTATCTCTATGTAAAAAAGGTGAAACAGAATAGTACACAAACACTACAGATAGAAGTGGGTTTAGTGGGTTTGACTGGTTTTAGATGATCCATAGCCAAGAAGTAAAAAATGGCCTTTCAAGATTGTATTTATATATTTAAGTAAAGACTAACAATGGATAAATACCAAGCAAAAACTACACAGTAAAAGAACCAAAACAACCCAAACCACAAACACCAGTGATGTCAGAATAAATCTTTTGCATAGTAAATTTAAAGAAACTTACCTGCAAGGGGTTCCACTTCCCAGCCTTCCAGCACAGCACAAGGGAAAGGATAAACAAGCAGAGTAAGAGAGAGCAGGAAGCAGTCTTTGAAGTTACTGGTATAATTCAGGCAAGACAGCTGAGACTAATAATTGCTAAAAGCAGAGGAGACTAAAGAGCTGCTTCCAGGCAAAATACAGCTCATGAATCTTTCTTTCACAGATGGAGTGGCAGATTCTGGGCTCTGCCAGTGCATGGCTGAGCTCTCCAGCACATTCATAGATAGCAATTTTCTGGAGAACATTCCCATTCACTTTGGGGTCAGTCACATCAATGTGCACTGCTCTTTAAGGGCAAAGTATCCTGACTTTACATGATCTGTAAGGATTAGCTCTACCATTTGGACATAAGCCCTGTGTCTGCACTGCAAGTGTATTGGGGTTGATATTTTTGGGAGTGACATCTTCCTGTCAATGTACCACTGGCAGCAAGAAACTAAATTCTAGCCCAAACAGAAAGAAAATAGAAAGAAAGAAAATAGAAAGAAAGAAAATACATAGCTCTTTGCAATACCTCATTAATAAGCAAACCCAGAAGAGGCTGTGATCTATCACTTTGCCACTAGCAGACACAGCAGAATTTCATTTTGTTTTATTATTGCTATCACTTCCAGCTGTGAAATGAACATTTTGCTAACAGCTGCTATAAAGAAGAAAGCCAAAACTGGTAGCCCCAAGGAAGCAGTTTACTTGTTGGGTTAATTTAACATGATTTCCCTAATGTAGTTTAGTTCAGTATACCATGTTGTAAAGAAGTGCAGAAGCACATATAAAGACAATCACTATACAGAGTATTATTAACTTATCTGACAGTCATTAGTAGTGGGAAAAAGTTTCCAGGAAAGGAAAGAAGAGTTTATCTAAAACAAGATGTGTCTTCAGTAGCATGTTATGGATTAGGAAAAACAAAACAAAACAAA